ACAGTTGACAAGGAAGAAACTCCCATTGCTGCCTGTTTCCCTCTATGGCTTGATGATGAAGAGAACAAAGAGAGAAGGCAAACCCAGAACCAGGCAAAGGGAATGGATCAGGTCAGTAACCTTATGGTGAGTAACCATGAGTAACCCGTCCACATCAGCATCCTCTCTCTCATGGAAAGCCTTTATTTTTTCCCTTTTTAATCTTTGACGGACGATTTCTCGCTCATTTTAAGTCGAAATTTAATTTTTTTTGCACAGTTAGATCAGATTAATTGTGCTCTTCAAAATGATATCCACTTTAATATATTTTTCGAACAAAAAAAAATTGAGCCATTTTTTACCAGCCTATACCATATGGTATTGACTGGTATTGAAATAAAAGCATACCTATGTTTTGAAAAACGTACCATGGTGGTATGAACAAACCAATACTGTAGGATGGTTGAATACATGATAGTAGAAGTATATTAATTGTAATTTACGACTTTTAACATTGTATACCACACAATAGCACCACGTACCAGGGTGGTATTGTATGGTATTGTGTGGTATTTTTTGGTCCTGTAATTTGTTCACCCAGAAATTTGTAGATCCAATAGATCATGATGAACTCGTCCCTTCTGTGCAAACGTTTTCAAAAATGAATTAAAAACGAAGAAGATACCATACAATACCACCCCGTACCAGGGTGGTATTGTATGGTATTGTGTGGTATTTTTTGGTCCTGTAATTTGTTCACCCAGAAATTTGTAGATCCAGTAGATCATGATGAACTCATCCCTGCTGTGCAAACGTTTTCAAAAACGAATTAAAAACGAAGAAGATACCATATGGTATGCAGTTGGTACCGAGAGGCCAAAATTTTTTTTCCTAAAAAAAATATTGAAAATTGATCTCATTTTGTAGAGCACGGTGAACTCGTTCCATCTGTGCAAAAAAAATTAAAATCCGAGTTAAAACGAAAAAGATATGAGTCAATTAAGAAAGCTAGTGAAAATAAAAATAGTCTTTAATTCTCCATCCTTAGATATGAATTTTCTAAATGAAGGGTCCATATTTGGTTATTGATGGGTGCATAACCATGGGTTATGCACCCTATCTTGAGCCCCAGGCAAACGATAGTGAAGGTTTGCGGTGGGCCACCTTTTCTTTATGGAGCGCATGGTATTTATAAGAGGGTTACTATTTGCCGCCCGTGTCATTACTATTGGCCGCCCATAGTTATAAATAAAATTACAATTTTACCCTTCTTTCAATTCGCCGCCGGCTCTGCCTTCCCTCCCGTCGCCAACTGCTCCCGAGGCCGGAGTCTTTCTCCCCACCGCCTCTGCCTACTCACCTCCCTCCGATCGGCGGCGAAGGACCCCGTCCGACCGGTGGCGGCGGACCCCGTCCAACCGGCGGCGGCGGACCCCGTCTGACCGGCGGCGGCGGACCACATCCGATGCATTTTTTTTCTTTTTTATTTATTTAATTACCTAAACTGATTCTACTCAACCGACGGACATAAATACGGGAACTACCTAAAATAATATCTTGAATGTGGATTTTATTGTTAATTAGGGGAAATAATTGTCTTAATTAAAATTCATGGCAGTAAGCCAATAAGGAATTCGGATTCCAATATGGGTAATTAATTATTAAAGTTTGATTCCTACGTTGTAGCAATCAAAGAGCCATTAAGAATAAAAATTGTAAAAACATTATTTGGTAAGCTAATTAGAGAACTGAATTTAGACGTGGGTTATGGCCTATGGGGAGGTGAATCCATTATTTAATAACTAATTACCATAAGTTATAAGATCAACAATTAATATATAATTAATTTAAATATGTATATTTAAGTATAATTATAAATTATCACAAAAATTCTACAAAATATATTCTTTGGTATTTTGTAATATGCTTACTAGAAGTATGTATATTTAATTATTAATTATCATAAGTATTCTAAAAAATTATGGATAATTAATGTAAATTATGTAGAATGGTTATAAAATACTTATTAAATTTGTTTAAACCTTTTTTAATTACATTAATTTCATAGTTAATTAGATCATTCCTAAGCTACGTTTTATCAAACATTATTCAATGAATCGGGGATCGGAGAGGGCTCTTTGTGGCTTGTTGAAGGTCGAACAAAAATATCTTTTCGCAATTACTAGAGATATGGACATGAAAAATGGTTGAAACCCTCACCGATCCCTTAAAATGTGGAGAGGATTGTGGTGGAATCAACCGTTTCTCGATTTAATGTCCCGATAAAAAAAAGATGAATAGTGTCAAAATTTCCTTCTTAGTTTTTGGAGGCTTCGTGGATCGTAACGAGGTGTTTCTTGAGCCTACTACGCGTATTTCAATGATGCGAACAAATGTTGTTAGTGGTGGTAGAGATGATTTTGCTTCTAAAACAATGTCGTAGTAGGAATGAATGGATTGAGGTTCCAGTTAACTATTTTGTTGGAATAAGGGTTTAGGGTTTGGGAGGGATAGAAGATGTACATTGAGAAAGAGATGCTTTGCTTCTTTGTATAAGTTAACGAATATACCTAATTTACTAATTTACTATTGATCAAATGCTAATCTCATTAATCTATAATCCGGTCACACCATATATTAAAATAATATATCTATAATTTTATCATTAAGTTAACCAATACCCACGTATTGTTTCATTAAGTAATTTTTTTGGATTGTCTTTAATAATGCAAAATTTCCTTTTGATGGGCTTAGTCGTGTCAATTAGGGAATTGAACCTAGACGTGGGTTAATTAGGGATGTTAATTGGGGAACTAATTACTATATTTAATTATTTCCATAATTACCGTAGGACGTTAATTAGAGGAATAGATATATATGGGTTAATTAGAGAAATTTTGGTTTTTAATAAAATATTTAATATTAATTAAGTCAAATCCTAATCTGGGTCAAACCCTTCTTTTTGGATCCGTTATTTTTTGGATCCGTTACGCAAAAACTAAAAAAATTACCTTAAGTGATTAAATTAAAATCACCTACTACTATTAAAATAGGTAATTAATTATTAAATTTTAGTTCCCCTAATTCCGTTGGTAGAATAAAGGAAAGATTGATTTTGTTGTCAATTATTATCATAATCCATTTTTCTGTTTCCAATTGGGAGAAATCAATAAGAGAGCATTAAATGACACGTAGGTAATTAGGAAAATATATTTTTTACGTATTATAATTACTTAACCACTATAACTAATTTAATTATATTAAATATTAATTAATCTGGTATAAAAAATATATTAATTAATCTAGCTAATTCCATGTTTAAAAGCCTCACCACATTTATTCACTAAACTATTTTTACGCACAAAAATTAAAAAATAATTACTTTAAGTGATTAAATTAAACGCACCTACTACTATTAAAATAGGTAATTAATTATTAAATTATGGTTCCCCTAATTCCGTTGGTAGTCAAAGAGGAAAATTATTAATAATAAAAAATTAATCTGTATTACCAAAAAAAAAAATTCAACCAAAAAAAATTAACCGTCCGCCTCATTAAACTATTTTTACGCAAAAAATAAAAAAATAATTACTTTAAGTGATTAAATTAAACTCACCTACTACTATTAAAATAGGTAATTAATTATTAAATTATGGTTCACTAATTCCGTTGGTAGCGATGAAAGACGAAAATCATTAATAACAAAAAATTAATCTGTATTAAAAAAAATTCAACAAAAAAAAAAATTAACCGTCCGACTTCCACCGGCGGACCCCGTCCGACCTCCGGCAGCGGACCCCGTATGAGCGCCGGCAGCGGACCCCGTCCGACCTCCTGCAGCGGACCCCGTCCGCACTCCGGCAGCGGACCCCGTCCGACCTCCCGCAGCGGACCCCGTCCGAACTCCGGCGGCGGACCGAGCTTCTACGACCGTGAGGTGAGGGAGGGGAGGGGAACAACGACTGTGGTTTTGGGAGGGAGGGAGTGAGAAGGTGGCCGACGGAGGAGGTGGTCTCTGATGGCTAGGTGGCTGGCGGCGAAGGTTGTTTGTGGTGGCCGGCGGGGGAGACTTCACAAGTGGTCGGCGGCGAAGGGAGAGAGAGTTGGGTTGGGGATAGATTAGGTTTAGGGTTTAAATTAGAAAAGGGCAATTTCGTCATATTTTTTCTAACTATGGGCGGCAAATAGTAAAAGCACGGGCGGCAAATAGCGATTCATATTTATAATTAGTTCGGCTTGATTGGAAAAGGTGCTGGCGTTGTCTAAGGTCAGTGGCTGAGACAAGGTTTGAAATTACCACTATTCTCTTTTTATAATATAATAATAATAAAAATTAATTATATCTAAATAATTTATTTATAGATAAAAAATAACCAATTAATACAATTATTGTTTTTATATACAACCACGATGGTAAAAGTATTCGTTGGCTACACTATTAAGTAAGTCTCTTTTAATGTATCCTACTAAACAAACATTATCAAATTGATCGTCAATTCGACTTGAAAACTTGTTCTTCTTATAACTTAAAGCTGAAAATACTCTTTCTGCACTTTCAGTTGTAATAGGTAGAATCAAAACTAGTGAAATTGTCGTTGTCGCTCAACAATTTCAAGGTTGTTAGGGAAAAAATTGAATAAGCATAAGGAGAAAAGATATCCAATTAGATCTTTATTACAATTGAAAAAGCCTACAAGCTTGCAACAAATGCAATTCCATATGCAAATTAAAAAAGCTTACAAAAATGTGAATTTTTTATTTTCTATTATTTTCTTTTCTCTTTTACTTAATTTTCTATAATTTAAACATAATATTTAATTATATTTGAAATTGTAAGTTAATTGTATTGATATAGGTGAATGAAATGAATGTGATGTGTATTGCAAAAAATTTGAGTTGACAATAAAAAACACAAATACAAAGGCTCTTAGTATGAACATGTTGTACTACATTTGTCTGATTAGGGTTTAATACCATTTTCTTGATCCTCATTGAAGATTAAGCAACCAACTTTTATGCCCATTGACAATAAAAAAGAACCCCAAAATAGTTCACTGAGGCACGGATGGAGATCAACCAAACAACAAACGAACTTTTTTTTTTTCATTTCTAACAAAACCCAAAACATATAGAAGTATCTCTCTCCCCATTAACTAAAAGAATTTGATTTCTAGTTTCTACTAATACTTCCACTAACTAAGAGGGTGATCCTGCCCAATCTTCCTCTGTCAAACTTTCAGACCTTGTTTACCAGAGTAAAATTGCCTCCCCTTGTAACAGATATTAATCCTATATATTCCAAATTTTCCTCCCCACTCCCAAAAAGAAATCTAAACAATGAAGAAACTTCTGCAGATTTCACAACTCACAGATATAATATGTACATCACGTATCCCCGGGAACCCACAACCAGCTTCTGCCCTCCCTCCCTCTGGTTGCTGCTCGTCTTCAACTTTGAAGGGAGATATCCTGGTTTGGCTTGGCTGTACAGGGATGTCTGCTGTCTGTCTTGAAAAACAAAATTAAGAGTCCACTAGGGTTTAGAAGTCAGTCAGTCTACCTAATTGCAGAAGAGGTGCCTGTGCTCAATGATGATTGTCTCTGACACAAACAGTCTGGTAATGGATTCACGTAGAATGATTCTTCCGAACGAAACCTATCCATGCCTTTAGTTCCTGAGATGGGTCCTTTCCTCTTCCTCGGGGATCCTTGCCTGTCCAACCCCACCATAAGAAAAAAGAACCAACTTTTGGTAAACACAATCCAAATTTTAGGCACAACAGCAAGCTCCTTCGTTCGTTTGCATTATTACTTCGAAATAGAAATGGGGACATACGTACCGTTTCTTGTGCAATTCGATGACACGCGTCGCAAGAGGTCTACCTTCTCTCAATTTCCCCCTTTCAACTTTGTCAAAAAGACGAACAAGCAATTTCCTGTTCAGGAAAAAGCAAAAACCATATTCAGGAACAACTTCAACTCATATATACTGTTTGTTGCCGGTTGGAAATTTAAAAAAACTGCCCACATAGTGTACCTATCTGGTGTGACAGTTTTTTGATGTCCTAGATAACGACGATGACCTTCAACCGCCCTTGCCATGTTACCAGAGTATGTTGGGATGAAGACAGCACTCGCCACAGACACAATATAGTCGAGAGCAGCCATTTGAGAGGCGTGTTTGAGAAACGGTTCAAGCTCTTCAACTGACGCCAATTTTTCCTGCAAAATGATCATAAAATAAATTCAACAAGTATGGCATAGAATAGCCAACTTGTGTAATCTGGACCACCCTATACATTTTGACATGGTTACTTTTACCAAATCACCTATGCAGTCATGTACCTTGCTCATTAGTAAAGGATAGCGGGTCAGGAGTTCACCCATATGAGCATCACCACCATAGATCTCCCCAGCAGCTATATATATGGGTGTGTTTGACGGGTACCCAAGAGCTGTAAGAAACATAGCAACCTCTGTTGGAGTTAAGGGGCAATAGCCTTTGGATCGCTGCTCCTCAGAATCAATATCTTTGATTTTCCAGTATGAGGTGTCGTCTCTGCAAAGAAGTTGGAAACTTAAAAGTTCATTGAACTAGAAACAGAATAAATAATTTTATGAACATGCAACAATAGCGTTGCAACTTCTTACCTGATCTTCTTCAGTTCATCTGCTTCGGCAACAGATAAACCATGTGTGCACCCACTGAATGCAAGCATGTCTTTCTCATATCGCAAATGTAAGGCAATGTAAGGACCATAAGCTCTCATTCGATCCACCAATAACTACATTATATAAATAAACAGGTATTATTATTCTCAACTATGCCATTGGTAGTTGGTGGACAAATAGCAAATACACCAGGAATTGCAAATAGATACAGTAAATATTCCTACTTTTCCCATGGCTTCAATTTGAGGTGAGAAACGCAGAGCTTCATAACATGCACGGCAACGTAGCTTCTGGATATCTGGAGGAAGATTATTATTTGCTAAGCGGGAATCTGATTTAGCAGCTCGAATAACCTATGAACAATTGAGTGATAAAACTATCAGGTAACTGCAAGTGCTGCTCTTTTTAACAAGCTTCAGAAGACGAGTAGTACACAAGAGATGCAAATTACAGACCTTATAATCTTCCCAAAGGCTAGAGATTTCTTCCTTGTAGTAATCCATCCCAGACCAGCTTCTGAAATGCTTAACTGCTTTAGTGACGCCTGACATGTCCTTGGGAAGTTTTCTCACAATTTTTACATCACTAGCCAGAGAACTGATGAAATAGTCCTCGTCAAAAACATCTGAAAAGATGCTGCAATGGAAAACGGAATTATGATGTTGCAGTGACCAAAAGCCACAAGAGAAGGAAAATAAATTAATAAATAAATAAAAAACAAGCGAAGGCTTGAAAGAATAATCTGTTACCTAGTGTCTTGCCAAAAAGAATTTTTATCCAGCTCAGGAACCACAAGAGTGGCATTAATGATACGAGCAACAGCAACCATATCACATATCTACAGTAGGATCACGACCCTTCATTAGATTAACTTGAAACTAAAGGAATCGTAGGTTGCTCTCAAAAATAAAATTTAATTATTATCATTACGATTAATTTTTTTTTTTTGTGAACAAAAAATTCGATGAAAAACCATCAGTCTCCTGTAAGGCTACAGAATAAAGGCTAAATATGCAATGTGATTCTGCTGGGTCATAGCAGCTGACAGCACAAATTAAGACCCTGAACTTTGTGGAAGCGAAGCCTAGATAAAGCTGTCAGGTTACCAGTGTTTATGATCATTAGAACATTAAAGAAATAATTTTGAGACGAACCAACTAATATAAACGACAACATTGGTGTGCCATTCGAACAAAACAAGTGTGTAACCAAAATAAGATAATACTGCAAACTTGAGACCTAGTGATTCCCAAATAGTTTGGCTTCTAAGAGGCCACCTATATCTGGAGACAAAAATGGCAGTCCGAGAGCACAGTCTAGACAGAAAAGCAATAATTCAAACATCACATTAACATTAAGTCTACCTCAACCATCAAGAACTGCCTTCATGTATCAAATAGAGAGATCAAATTCCAAAAGAGGAAGCTTTCGAGAAGCAGAAAGAGAGATTGAATACACACCCCGGCTCTCATCTGGTTGAGCCCACCATTAGTATGAACTAATAGGTAACCACTCGACTCTCCAGGAGCTGAGGATTCGGAAGAAGAAGAAAAATTAGCACAAAGGATAAAGAAGAAAGACATACAAGCTCAAATAACAACCAAAAAATAAAGGCGCATGCTTGCCTGTATAGTTAGAACTAGGATCCACACAGGGAGAATAATCACGGTTCGACGGAGGCTTCCATAGCTTGAGAGCGGGTACAGCATTAACACTTTCCAACTGTCAAATCTAATGGAAGTGAAAACATGAAAGAAGCATGACTGGTTTGTATGAGCATGTACACCTACTACTCTTCTCATCATCGTCATCTAATCATCATAGTTACTTCAACCCACCAGTTCTCCAAAAACATAACCACACCGTTCCCAACTCAGGATGATTAATGATTGGGAAAAAGCCTCTACGTTATTCCATAAATTCTCTTTCATATTTTACCCTTTTGTCCTAGTCTGTCTAACACAACAAGCTTACAGGTTTAGACATCAGACCTGGTGAGGAGCAATTGGTGCCTTGGAATGGGGTGGAACAACCTCTCTACTCCAGCTTTGCTGCTGTTCAGTCATCCCCTTCTGCAAAAAAAAAAAAATTCAGTTTGTATAATAAAGGAAAAGAAAATGATTCATTAAAACAACCCCAATGAAGGGAAAAGGGACAGAACAATGGAACTGATTTGTCAGCCAACTACCAAAGTAAAGTGCGATGAAACCGAAACAGCCATACCAACACGAGAAGTGAATGGAGAGTGTGGGAGACTAAAAACAGCCCAAATTTGCTAAAACAGAAGCGAAAGCAAATCTAACTTAATAACGTTACCCATTCCTTTCTTGTGCCAGAATTTACTAAGCAAAACTAAAGCAAATGGGGAGGAGAAACAGGAAAGAAAGAGAGAATCTAAGAAATCAATCAAATTCCGGCAAACATTTTAAAAGTACCCAGAAAAGAAAGCTGAAAACTTACAGAAATCTATCGCCCATACTGAATCAAACCCATCAAACAGAGAAAAGGATCACATAGCTTGTCCATAGCAAAAAGCAAACGAAAGAAAATATAGGAATAAAATAAACCCTAATGGAAGCAGGAAAAGCAAAACCCAAGAAATGAAGGAGGGGGAAAACAACAGACGAGTAGACGACGGACCTGAGTGGTTGTAGTGGGGAGCTTGTAAGGATCAGGCAAGACGGGAACTCTGGAAGGGAAGACTTGAACATGGACGTGTACGGAGAGCACGGCCACCATGGCGAATGCACATATAGCGCATGTTATCATCTTCCTCATCACCGGCACCGCCCTACACCGCCGCTTCGCCTGCGCCATCATTTTTGGAGGAGAAAAAGGGAGCCCAATCCCCCCCAAAGATGAAAAGAAAAGAAGAATATTCGTTTCCCAGGAAAGAATGGAAGAAAAGAATTCAGCAAGAAGCGGCCATTGCTGTAAGGGAAAGAAGATCGAAGGGGAAGCGAAGGGAGGGCGGAAGAGATGCAAAGTGCCAGTAGTGTAAACACTAAACACACAGTCTGGCTGCGTAGTGCGTACACGAGAAAAAGGCCAGCAGCGAGGGGAGAGACCGAGAGAGTGAGTGAGGGAAGCAGGTCGGGTCGGGACAAGAAGGGCGGATGGGCTTTTATTTATATTTGTTTTGGTGTCGTGGGTTTTAAGTTTAACTTTGGGGATTGTTATTAGTCGCTCTAAAAATCTTTATTTATCGTTTTAATTAAATTAATTTTATTATAATATCCTTAGTTTAATTTAATACTTACCTCAAAACAAATTATAACCGGAAATAAATAAAAAATAATAATAACTGCAGCGGCTAGCAGAACATTCGGCCGGCAGAGTCCTTTTCAGCTGGGACATGGAAGCATTAGATCACAATTATAAATAAAGGTTGCTTTTCATGGGACATAACTGGGGAATTATTTGAACATAACTCCAACCGCCAGAGAAGTTGGAGAAGAAGAGAGTTTTTGGCGTATAAAACTCTTCTTTCGTGGACGGAGGTTTTGGAATTTCCAGGCAATCAGCAGGAGTTAAGGTTAGTAAACGGGTTACTTCATTCGTAAATTTTTCTCTATTTCTTGAATTTTAAGATGTTGAACTTAGAATTAATTGTTAGTTTGTTTTCCATGATTATGAACTAAATCTTAATTTATGGGGGAAGACTGTAGGATGTGGCTATCGAATTTCTACGATTTAAACGAATTGAATAAGGTAATTAGGTCGTGAATTTCAGACCTTCTTTTCCGAGAGCTTCTCTCCGTTGATTTTTCTCCAAGTTAATTTCCTACTTGTTTTCTAGTTTAGTTATTACATTGTCTTTAGTTTACTACAAAAACACTTTTGTTCTTTCAATTCCTTGATATAATCATTAAATTTCAAGTTGTATCAATCCTTGTGGGATGATAATATTACTTACTTTTATTACTTAGTTGATAATCTGCATATAGATTTTATAGCGTCACATCCGGACATAATTTATATAATTTTTGGATTAAATTATCTCTAATTTGTACTAATATTATTCTTTATTAGGGAGACAACTTTGTTGAAGTCGGCTACACAAATTACAATACCATTGATATAATAAGGAGTTTGGTATGAGTAATACGGTAAGTACTTATTTAAATATAGTTTATATAAATAAATAAATTGTATTGACTAATGGTGGATTGGTTTCAAAAATTTTGTATGTTTTTTGTAGGGTGGTTCTCGAGATGACGAAGGTGACAAAGTTGATTACACTCAATTCTTCATGAGTGCAGGTTTTTATGATACTAAGGACAAAGCTCGGGAAGCAGCAAAGGAGATAGCAAAATCTCTCGGCTTTTTCTTGATAGTGTCTACAACCAAACGAAATCCGGGAGAAACGAATCCGCGGATATATATGGATTGCAACCATGGTTGTAGGAGCATAACATATATCCCAGATCCTGATAAGCCAAGGCGGAATAATACGAAGGCAGGCAAGTTGGGTTGCAGATTCAGAGTGGTAGTACAGGCAATATTGGTGGATGGTTCTTTGAAATGGAGAATTGATGGTGTGAGGGGGTTTCATAATCATAAATTTGAGCTTTATTTTGAAGGGAGCAGCCAAAGAAATACTCTCACAAAGGAGAAGAAGGAAGACATCAAGAAAATGGAGGCAACGATGACTCAGCCGAAACAAATGAAGAAGTCTCTGAATGACACGTATGATGCTCACCACAACATGAAACAAATTTACAATGAAATCGGCAAGATTCGGCTACAGAGATTGGGTGGCATGAAACCCATGCAGTGGACATTGGGGGAAGCTCAAAAGCTCGGGTATTTCATTGAGTGTGAATTTGATATTGATCACCATGTTACTAATCTCTTCCTTTGCCACCCGGAGTCTCTTGAGATGTTGAGTGCTTGGTATTTCGTTGTTCTGATAGACTCGACATACAAAACCAACAAGCATAAGAAGCCATTGGTTCAGTTGGTTAGTGTTACTCTGGTGCAGAAGAACTTTAACATTGGGTTTGCATCTGTGGCAGATGAAAAAAAAGAGACATATACTTGGGTTTTGTCGCAGCTAAAGAGTGTGTTTGGTGGTAGGGTCCCAAATGCTATTGTCACAGATAAGGAGGGAGTATTAGGTGTTGCAGTGCGCGAGATCTTTCCAGAATCTACTAACTTATTATGTGTATGGCATATGAAGAAGAACATTGAAGCCAAACTCATGAGCTTTCGAATGAGTAGAGAAGTCGCAGAGGGTTTTGTTGGAGGTCCTTGGGGAACATTGTTGTATGCCAATACCCAAGAAGGATTTGATAGTGCTTGGGTGGACTTACAAAATAGTCGTTGGGGGGACAATGGACGATTGATTAACTACTTGAGAGGCGAGTGGCTATCTTGTGCGAGAAAATGAGCTAATTGCTACACCAACCGTGTGTTTCATATTGGCAACACGAGCAAAAATAGGGTGGAATCAGCTCACTCCTCTTTGAAGTCATGGCTTAACACTTCTAGGCACAAGATTGATTCACTCTTCATGAGATTCCATGCTTGTGTGGAAGGTAGAGTGATTGAATTGCGAAAGGACCTAGAGGAATCACGATTGAAGGTAAATTCATTTTGATTGAATTGTGATAATAATTTTCATATGCTTTCTCTTATTTAGATTATGTGTTCATTTAAATAGGTATTTACATGGGCATATGGACCGCCTTTTGTGCACTTGAACAACAAGGTTAGTTCATGGGCGATTGAGTTATTGAGGGGAGAAGGAAGTAGGAAGAATGTTGAGAGGTGCGGTTGCGTGCTACCAGAGACATATGGACTTCCATGTCTATGCACAATGCAGAGGTTCAGTGAGAAAGGGTTAGAGTTGTATCCACACCACTTACATCATTTCTGATCTTCTTTAAATTACCATGATCCACCTGATCGTGCACAGTGGGAGGACCATGATGCTATTGAGAGCGATATTTTCGACAAAATAGTGGAGGAGGTACGTTGTAGAGGACCAAATTATATTCGAGTAGCTATTCCATCACTTCGAGTTCATGTTCTCCTCGAGGACATGGGTCTTCTTGAGCCTAGGGACGCAGAGATTCCGAGGGGTCGACCACCTAGGAGGGAGAACGCCCGAAAACGTTCTTGGTTTGAGCAGGAGAGATCACGAGAGGCACGCAGAAGTAATACCAGCAGGACAAGCCCTCCGACGAGGGATCTCACTCCCCCGATGAGGGATCCTACTCCCCTGATGTCAGATCGCACTCCCCCTATGAGGTCAACACATACAGGTTAGTCATAAATATGATTTTGATTGTACTATTATTTTTTGTGTGTTGATATCTTCGTTTTTTTTATAAGAGTTTCCATATTGTTTCACTTGCTTGATTTCATTAGGTTGTGCATGAAAGAGTCAATTGTGGGAATTCCATAGTGAGAGGGATATGTGTCCATACCTCCCATACATCCCATCTAGCATACACCATCTTGTTAGAGCTTGGTTTAACCCCGATGGGGATGGTCATTGTGGGTTTCGAGCAATCTCACACATTATTCATGGAGACAAGGGTTACTACTTAGAGATGAGGCAAGCTGTTATTGGAGAGATTACTAGTCGATGGGATTCTATATATAGTAGACATTACGATGGGACACTAGAGCAAGTAATTCATAGGTTGGATCAAAGGAATTCGGGATGGTGTGGCAACAAGTACTGGTTTGAGGAGGTGGATCTACTAGCATTCGCGACAATGCACAATTGTGCCTTTTCAGTCTTCGGGTGGGCAATTGATGGGACATATGGGTATAGTGCATTACCCGTGACAGCGCCACCAGGGATAACGTCTCCAGTTCATGTTTATGCCCTCGTTCATACTAGAGTACATTGGGTCCGACTTCATCTTGTAGACGTCGGAGGTGTTACACCATGCCTCCATTTAGTTTTCAGTGGTCTCATCTTCGCGATATGGCAACTGTTGGTTCTTGGTCATTGTTGTACCAAGAGGAAAGAAGGTTGTTTTTCGTTCTCGGTGGACATCAGCAAAGTAGACAAGACAAGGGGTGAGCCGAAGCATGTAGTACATGAGTAGTTACATTATTTTAGCTTTTCGGTACTTATCTATGTAGTAGAGATTATTTAGCTACATTGGTCATCTTTTCAGTTCTTTAGCTACATTATTTCATCTTCTTGGTACTTATCTATGTAGGAGATATTGTTTATGACATATTAGCGGATTGAATTACTCAGTTTAATCGCGATATCAAATAATACGACCTTATCAATCTGAAGAATTCCTAATCACCGTAATTTGGCGAAAATGGTCGGCCGCTTAAAAAATTAATCAAATGATCCATTATACTATTGCAACAGAGTCCACAATTACAATGAACATAAGAACACACTTCACAGACATTCATGAAAAAGATATCACGGCTACTCTGCTTCCTTCTCTTTTATTTTTCTTAAGAAGAAGCGTTTGTTTTTGGGAGAGAGACTCAGACAACCACCACTTCGTGCCCCCCTGTTTCTTCCAACCTCGCCGCCGGGAAAGGAAACGGGCCAGAGCAACAATTTCCTCCCCTCTTCAATTTCATGTCGATGGAGGGGAATGCCCAGCAAAATTAATTTTCTCCCCTCTTCAATTTCCTGCCGAGGGAGGGGATTGCCCAGCAGCTTCAATTTGGGACAGGGAATGGTATTAATCAAATATGGGTTTGTGGGTTCTCAATCGAACAAGCGACGACTTGGATAGAGGAATTTCTTGCAGGTAGGCGGGAGATCGGAAGCTGTCTCCACTTCATCCACGTCTTCAGGTCGTCGATCTTCGCCGGCGTCAGCATCTTCCCCTCCGTACTAGCGCCAACGTGAATAGCCGCCAAGGACTGGTTCAGGTTACTGACCCCCTCCCCCAACTGATCCATGCAGTCATCCAACGCGACCCTCGATCTCCACTCGCCGCTCGACGAATTCCCGAACAGGGAAGCTAGGTTAGCGAACCTCTTCAGGGAGACTTGGATTGAGACCTTGAGGATCTCCTCTGGGTCGGTTACCAGTTACGAATGAGGCGCTGGGGACACGGAAGCATTGGATCACAATTATAATAAAGGTGGGAATTATTGGGACATAACTGCAGCGGCCAGAGGAGTTGGAGAAGAAGAGAGTTTTGGCCGTAGCGTATAAAATTACAACTCTTCTGTCTTGGCAACTGCGTAAAGTTGAGGAAGAATTGAAAGAAGTTT